AGTTAGTATATGAGACTCGCGAATGACCGCTGCAAGCGCGAGCGAAATCAGAAGAGAGAGTCGAAGCACGTGACCACGCTTGTATTATGTGAAATTGTACAAGGGCGCGTTTTTTGTAGTTTCTCGTATTCAAACAAAAAACGATTATGCAATTGATGAAATACCTAGTGTTATTATGGAAGTAAAATAAAGGTACAAAAACGCCACACTACCATCGACCTAACGGCAAGAAACTTTAAGTCACACTCTATCAATGGACTCCATGTCTTCTGATACCTTCCCGCAGTCTCTCCTCTTTTCAAGCGTCGATCTGCAAAAGTAGCTGTCTTGATTGCCCTGTGTAGTTTCTATCCACTCATTTTTTAATCCTATTAAAACCTACACTAACCTTCAACTAAGCCAACATCTCACACGGTCCTACATTGTTCTTTTCCAATCTGCATGGATTCCACTGGCTAACCCAAAGTCCCGTTGCCCAGTGAATTGTGCATCTCCAGTCCGACCAACTCACCTACTACGTCCGTTAGGGAGCTGACCGAAAATCGAAGGAAGTCAGTGCAAAATTAGCGCGGCACTGTCAGACACAGTCGAAAAGCACATCCATAACTACTTACTCCATGGACTGAACTGCCTCCGGAACTCTAGCTTCAGATACGAACATACTGCTCACTTGCACCCAAATGCATCCGGCGCGCGGTTGACCTTCTGTCCCCTTGATTCGACCCTCTCCGTGCACATTCAGCTGGTCGTTTCCAAAAATTCAATGCTTTCATACACTGTTCGCGTTTTGTTCATTTCGTTAGCATTTTCGCACTCTCCCAAGAGAACTTTATATCCGGTTTGGCTCAAACAACAGTGCCTATCGTGCCAGGTTCGATATGGTCGTATCTGCATCTACTAATACAAGTTATTTGAGTGAGTACTCCTGATAACAATTAAGTCTTTATTCTGACGAAGCCATTATGATAATACCTTATCACGTCACCCACTACCTGGGAATAAATGCCATCATTAGATTACTATTGCTAGCCGATGTTTGGCTGGAAAGGGCCGATACGGACAAAAAATTTCCGAAGTACAGGAAGCCATTGTCTAACGTGCAAAAATTGATTGTCGTGAAATTTTGAGAAGCCATTAATAATTGGGACGGGTTAGACTACCGCAGGACTTGTCGACCCCGCTCTGTTGAGTAGTTATCTGACAGGTTGAACAATACGGCGGCTGATAAGCCAACCGTCCCGACCAGCACAGCTCACCCTTAAATTCGTCTATAGAACGTGGAAGACTGTTATTTCAAGGAGTTCCGAAAGCCGCTTCATGCACAAGCAAAATGAAGCAATTTATTGGCTGAACCTAGTCACGTGATCCATACCAAAACCTACGACTAATACATACGGGTCCTAGTGGCTTAGCAACCACTCGTGGCCCTGTGACCGAGTGGGGTGGAGCTCATTAACCGCACAATGCTCCTAGCTGCAGAAACTTTACGAGTGCAGTAAAGGTTTGGCGCAAGGTTTGTTGCTCAGACCAAAAACTATTCAAATACACATCCATAGTTTTGCAGTTTACCAAATTACATTGTCAACTGGAGCAAAATTACCACTGGCGGAAAAGTCTGATGGAATTATTCCCCAGCGTTGCTGAAGCCCCGGGATATCCAGATGGGGTTTACAATTTTAGACTGGTACTCTCAAATCAATTGTCAGATTACTTAAGTCCATCAGGGAAACGTCACAGGATTCGAAATTTCCACTTCATTGTGTGAATACTGAGCGGCGAGTGGGATAAGCCCGTGGGCAGGCCTGCCAGTTCGTGGTTCAAATCCGGCCAGCGTCAGCTCCAGCTTTTGGTGCTTGTCCGAATTTGCTGGCACCATTTTCTTTCTGCAGCAACAAAAGGCAATTAGCATATGTTTTCGGTCGCCCATGATGTCAATATCCGCTGTCTTTATAGCTACCTGAATGACGATGAGTCCTTCGATGTAAAATTGTAAACACCGACTTAGTGCTTTGTTTAATCGTTAGGAATTACTGACGGGGTCGTGACTCTCCATTCGACAGGTGTGATATTTTACAGATTGCTTCCGATCCTCGGGTCTTCTCTGTTTCCATTTCTTAAGGATACCGTCCTGCTCAAAGTGATTTTCGCCTTGCTTCTTCTGTTAGGTAGCCCTTGGCATCGGTTTGAAATACGGTACTCTCACACGAGCTGAACACCGTGCAGTTTACACGCACAATATGAACAGGACGCCGATCACCAAGTACAGAGGAAATCGAGCAGTTTGCGTCTACTCAAACACTTTTGTTTTTAGAGATACTGGATGATGTGTATTAGCGGCCATGTACACAATGGTGGCACAAATGCTGGAGGCGAAATTGCAAAATTGTGCTGTGCCACCGAGGAACGTGTGTTATGAAATTCGCCCACTTCGGCGATAAGCCCGCTTATCGGATTGTTGACGTATTTCATCGCGTGGCTTCCCCGGATTACCCAGCACAGCCACCGAGGAACGTGTGTTATGAAATTCGCCCACTTCGGCGATAAGCCCGCTTATCGGATTGTTGACGTATTTCAATCGCGTGGCTCCCCGGATTACCCAGCACAGAATGTTTCCTTATTACCATCCCACTAGAACAGCTTCCTTCACAATCCGCTACCAGGATCCACAAGACGATCCTTACAATATGGCGTACGGTCCGTGCATCACAAAAGATGAGACTTCTATCCACACACTCGGATAGTTTGTTTACGTAATGTGGCCAATGGCCGTTTGCAAAACACCGGCTTTCGCCTCAAAAAGAAATCACGGCTGTCTTAAGTATCTTGAAACGTTGAGTGATCGGTGCAGAGGTGATACCGTGGTGACCAAAAAAATCCAGTTTCCGTTCACCGTACGCGCAAATTCTCGGGTTTTCAGACAACCATGGACACAACCAACGAGGTTGCAATAACCCCAATGTGAAATCTAGTGGATTAAGATAGATTCATTTTAGCTAAAATTGTAGCTCCCGGTGCGAGAGTTCAATTGCTGCCAGCCGTGGAGACTGTTTACTTTTCGGAGACTACCCAGCGAATCACTAAAGTTCGGCAGCCATATTGCGACAAAGATGAATTGTCGTCTATGAAGTACATGTCACCGGAACGCTGAGGATTCGGCTGGCCAATCAAATACGACCTTGCGTGCGACCCCATATAATCCTAGAAAAAATGAATCTACATCATTCATCTTGGTCGAAATGTTCGAGATGCAGCCGAACAATGAGTCAAAGGAGCATATCCGTTGCAAAGGAGAAGTGTAAAAAGGAGAAGAATTTCAGTAAACGGTCGAGAACCTACGATATATCTCCAAAAGTGGAAAGTCTCAGGATGTGTTTGGATCTGAAAATTCGCGTGTGCAGAGCATTACGCACCCTCAAATAATAATCAGTGCTACAACTGTCGGATAGCAGACGCTTTGGTGAAGCTTACAAAAAACCAATTATCAGCATACGACTAGCGGAGTGTAAGTAGCATGCTAACAATACAGCCGCTTACCGAGTTCTCTGCATTTCCTAAACGTAGTCTGGCAGGGTCAGTTCAGGCGTCCTATGGACGGCCACAAACGGTACAACAATCCCTCGCGAATTTTGGAGACTTTTCAGAGGCAGTAAAAATTTGCATTAACAGATTTTCCATTATGCATGCAGTACCTACAAAGTGTGTTTTTTAATGTAATCTCTTTTGTCCCTGTCAAAATTGTTCACATTATTGTACAAATTTTCTTTCAGTGGATTTCACAACAAACTCTTGCTTCTTGAGCTCAACGACTTCCGCTGAAAGCCCTTGTTGTCTCTCTCTTTTGAGTATCATCGCCCGGCACTAACTTCGAACGTAAGCAAATATTTTTAATTGCAAGCGGTTGATCTATCCGTTCACGTCAGTGGATTAGGTTTAACATTGGTCTGGATTACCAGAAAATTATAGCCATTTCCTTTTGGAGTTGGTCAGAGGGATACGGACCTATGGGATTTTTTCTTGAGAACTGAGTCAACAATTTATTGGATTGTCTTCTTGACGATATATCTGAATTACATTACTAGTTTTTTTTGTTCATTAGGGGTTACCTAGAGTGGGTAACAACTACAGGGCGTTTCCTTATCCGCCAGCTGCAGTCACGGATTCAAATTTTCCGATGCAATAAAAGTCAGCCACGCCCAAATTCAGGTCACCAACATTGGCCTCCGATGTCGTCTGGGAAATAAAAAAAATTCAAAAAATGACAAACCAGCTGTGGCTGTCAGGAACCAGAAAATCCGCAGATGCTCTGAGCCATTTGATTGTCCATTCAAAACCCGTTTCTGCGTGAATACTGAACACAATTTACGGAAGTACTGCCGTTAGTCGTTCGACCTAATGGGTCGCGTTTCCGAGGTTGCCGTAGCATAAGTAAGTTGATATATAATTCAAAAATGACAAACCAGCTGTGGCTGTCAGGAACCAGAAAATCCGCAGATGCTCTGAGCCATTTGATTGTCCATTCAAAACCCGTTTCTGCGTGAATACTGAACACAATTTACGGAAGTACTGCCGTTAGTCGTTCGACCTAATGGGTCGCGTTTCCGAGGTTGCCGTAGCATAAGTAAGTTGATATATGGGTCTCTGTGATCTGGCAACATATCTTGCTAATCATCTATGCCATAAAGATCCCCGTCCATTCCTTTCGGGGTTTATAATGCTGAAGTTTGCCTTCTGCGCAGTAAACATCTGTAGGCTTGTTCCTAGGCCAAGTGCTGTTTGGCCACCTGCCTCAATAAAAATCGCGGAATTGTCACCGTAAGGCGAACAACGGGAAAGCCGCGGTTTGTTATGAACTTTGGCCAGGGCAAAGAAGTTGAGCAGAAAATCAGTGTTTGTCCGCAATTCTGACTTCAAAAAAGAGCATGTCATAAGCCAGGATTTACTGGTGTAAAACTAGTGACAGTTGTTCACATTACTCTACAGTGTCAAGAGATAACGATTTCTCTACTTGAATAATTAAACCGAGAACGCTGAGAACCTTGGCTTTGCAGTCAAATGCAGAAAAAACCAACATCTTGCAGGTTTCAGTGGTTTGATAGTCATTATCTTAGGCTAAAAATAGCACAAGGGTTGATTTCTGACAGTTGGACTAAGGGCGTCAACCACTTGCAAACGTTTTTCTGAGGGATTCACCTAATTAATGTTTTCCCGCCAATGATTCTTGAGTTCGGCACGAGAAAAAATCGGCTTACCGAAAAATACATCCTAGCCCAATGGCAGTATTAGTTTTTCATCGTGATGTCTCCTACTCGGATACACATTTCAACTGCAAGGGTCCATGTCTGTTGGCACCGACGACCACGAGGTCACAGCTGTATATGTTAGCCCATTTGGATGTCCAACTTCAGCGTTCCATTGATATTGAGCAATTTGGGAATCAATATATGACTGCTTAGTCTTTCTGCTGTTCATAATTCAAATAAATTAATAAAAAAGGTAACCGCTTTGCACTTATCTCCATAGCTTTTTATCCTTGCGTGCCCTGGGAATGAGATTAGTGGGTGAATATCTAAGACTGGGAATAAGTCGGCCAATTTTCCAAAGTTGAAGTTAGTAAGTTGAAAGACAGCAAAGATCTGGCTTCAAAAATTATGCTGTCGATTC